CGGTGCTACATCAGCACCATGTAGGAAAAAACGGTGCTCCAAGCCATGCCTTGGAAATCGAGAAGGCATGGCTTGGAGCAACACCCAATTTGGCAATTTGGCGTTTCCTGGGGCTGCAGCTCATTGCTGCCAACAGGGTAGTGATGTGTCAATGATGTGGTAGTTGATAATGGGTAGAAGTGTAGAAAACGATTCCTGGAGCACTGGTACCAAATATAAAAAGTTGTTGTTGCTCCAGCAAACGTCCTACCTTGCAGCAACGATTCCAAACAAAAATAGGCACCATTTTCTGAGAAAACGGTGCTTCCAACCCACACATCAGCAACACCGTTTTCTTGCATCTGCAACATCGATGCCAAACATATACTTGATAAACGGTGAAACCAAGTATGTGTTTGGTTCCATGGGCATTTATGGATAGGTTGTTTATTTGTACTTTTTCACTTTAAACGTTTCTTGTTTTTGTTGTTTGGTTGGACTTCACTTTAAACGTTTTTTACTCTCCCCCTCAGATTAATACCCATTAAAGTGTGTTACATCAGCATTTGGTTTCAAGAAACGCTGGGACGTTGGGGGAAACAAGAATTTGACGTTTACTCAAATGCCCCATGCACAAAAATCAAAACATTTCAGTTTTCTATCATTTATTTGATAAATAGTGAAACCAAAAAGTTGTTTCATTTTGCTTCATATGCAATAAATATCAATGCCTATGTGGCATTGATGTGGTGGCATTTTTTCAATAAACGCACATAGAACCAAACACAACCATGCTTTATATGTAATACACGTCAATGCCTATGTGGCACTGATGTGGTGGTGTTTTTTCAATAAGCGCTCATGGAATCAAAAACAACCCTAAGAAATTTGAGTTCAAATCTGCTTCAAAGTGCACCTCACACTGATCTCATAGCATGTCCGGACTGCACATTGGGAACAATTTCCGTACTTATATTTAATATTTATAGGGAGATGTTCCCAATACAGGGTGGGATGTGGTTGTCCATGTTAGCATGTCTCTCCTTTGAGAGAAGCTATTTATCTATTTTCTTCATTTTTTGCATTTTTTCTTATTTTCTTTTCTTTTAAAAATATAAAACAATAATCATTGTTTATCTTGATTAGATTAATAAAGTTGCACACTATTAGAGAGAGACCTTTAGGTTTTCCAAGGCTTCTTTTTTTAATGCATGTTATTATTACATTTAAAAAAGAAATTTAAGAGAGAGAGAGATAGAGAATACTAATAATATAAATAAAATAAAATAAATAGGTCGAGGTTAAACAACCAAAAAATTATTAATTTAAAAATCCACTAAACTTTCACTAAAAATAAATATTAACAAAACTTAGTAAATATTAAAAATGTGTTTCAATTCCACTTAAAAATCAAACTTAATAAACACTAATAAAAATAAAAAATTTAAATATAAAAATATTAATTGATAGTTTTAAACTTTTAATAATATTATTAGTTAACTTATGAGTTGAGACTGTTATTGTGCATAATGAACTCATTAAAAATGAAAAAAAATTAATGAAAATTTAAAATCTAGAACCCATTTTATTAACAGTATTTTATTGTAAAAATTACTGAATAATAATGAAAAATACCAACAATTAATTAAAAATAAGAAATTTAAATATAAAAATATTAATTGATAGTTTAAGAATATTATTAGATAACTTTGTATTAATGCATTTTTGATTAATTAATAATTTTTATGAGTAGATACTTTTATTGTGCATAATGAACTCATTAAAAATGATAAAAATTAATGAAATTTTAAAATATAGAACCCATTTTATTAACAGTATTTTTATTGCAAAACTTACTAAATAATAATGAAAAATACCAAAAATTAATTAAAAATAAGAAATTTAAATATAAAAATACTAATTGATAGTTTTAATAATATTATTAGATAACTTTGTATTAATGCATTTTTAATTAATTAATAATTTTTATGAGTAGAGACCTTTATTGTGCATAATGAACTCATTAAAAAAGATAAAAATTAATGAAAGTTTAAAATGTAGAACATGCTTTATTAACAGTGTTTTATTGCAAAATTCCTCATATGCAAAAATTACTGAATAATAATGAAAAAATACCAACAATTAATTACAAACCCAGAAAATTTTGAAAAACCTAAACATAATTAAAATACTAATAATAATTAAGAAATATTGAAAATTAACAATATTTTATATTAATAAGGGTATTTACTGAAAATAATTAAAATGTACAATTAATAGTATTTTATTATTAAAAAATAATAATATTGAAAATTAGTTATATTTTTATTAACTATGGCACTTATTTAGTTATTTAATTTATTTTTACTAAAAGCAAATGCAAATTAATTTTATAGTGATTAATATGCAAAAATAAATGCTGAAAATTATTGAAAAATACTCATATGCAAAAATTACTTAATAATAATGAAAAAGCACAAAAAATTAATTAAAAATCTGAAAATTCTGGAAAACCTAAAGCTTAATTAAAATACTAAAAATAATTAAAAGAATTAAATCAATTGTATTTTATTGCAAAAAATACTGAATAATAATGAAAAAATAATGCATTTTAATTATTAATAGTAATATAATTAACAATAGTTATTTTTAAACTATAATTAACAATAATTATAATATAAGCTATAAATAGTAGAAAATTACATTTAATTAGTTTTAGCCAAGAAATTAGTAATATTTCTAAAAATATGATAATTTCCAAGAATTACTGTATTTTAAATAAATACAATAATTTAATAATTATAATATTTTAATAATTAATAAAAAGTAACAAATCGTTTATAACTTAAGCACCTATTAGATCGATAAATTTGCAAGCTCAAGCAACTATTTTCTTTTGAGTTAAGTTTAGCTGAGATATGCACCATGCCCACACATTATCAAGAATAGTCAGATTTGAAGTCTAATTGGGTATCAAACTTTTGGAGTCCAATGATGCTTTAGTGGATAGGGCCCAAGCTAAATAACCCCTATATAATAAGCTCAACTTGGAAGTTATATGCATATATCGTAATATATATATATATATATATAATATTTAAATAACAAATTTTCAGCCCTTATATAAAGTCTGAAACCCGATCTGTACACAAAATGTCTTATTTTTAGTATACTTTTATAAAATAATATTATATTAACTTTGTAATAAATTAATAAATTAATAAATTAATAAATTAATAAACTAATTTATATTTCCTAATAGTAAATTAATATTTATTAATAATTTAAGAAGCATATATATATTATATAATATAAGTATTTTTTTATATATGTAATAGTACCGGCCCGGGCTTATTTGAGAAAGCTTGAGCTTGAGCCCATGGGCTTAAAATTTTGTCCAAGCCTGAAAAATAATGGGTCAAGCCGGGTTGGGTCGTTTGGCTACCCGACCCATGAATAGGTCTAATTGTATATATAAACAATTGTATACATCAAAAATCATATGAAATAAAAATTTAAACAAACTTTTCAATTTTTTTAAACATTGACGTCTCATAGATTGGCTCGGTCCACGGCTTGGCTTGGCCCAAGGCTCGGCCCATGGACTAGCTCAACCCATGGCACGACACGGTCTCAAGCTATGTTCATGCCGAACCAACCCCCCAAATTATCCCAAGGGAGGGAGGCACAACCCAAGACGCCTCGTGGGCCAACACGGCACAACCCACACTTTGTACGGGCCACATGCGGGTCATGCCGTACTGGCCCAGCACGACCCAATTTACACCTTTACTTGAACCCGCCCAATACTAGGGACATGGCAGGGAAATTCGAGGATTCCCCATCCTTGATGAGGAGTGGGGTGCCTTGCCCCTAAACTCACTTGACATTGGGGAGTGGTTGCCTTACCCTGAACCCACTTAACACTAAGGATAGGGCGGGGATGGAGTAGAGTGTCTTGACTTTGGGGCAGGAAGCCAAGGATAGGGATGGGTGCCTCGCTTTGAACCCACCACCCCGTTGTCATTCCTATATAATTGTTAATTATTAATGAAATTAATAAAAATGTTAGCTTTTGTAATTATTTTTATTTATTTAAAGTTAATCAAAATTTCATTTAAAAATAATAACAATTATTAAATTACTACAAATTATTAATAAAACTAAATTTATTAAAAAATATTTATTCATATTAAATTAACAATAATTATTTTTTGTAAATCAACATTAAATGAAAAATACAATTATTAAAATTTTAAATATTAACAATAACTTTGAATACTTTTAGTTAATTAAAACCAAATTTTGATTATTAATTTAATATTAATTAATAATAAATAAAATTATTAAATCTTTCAGATTTCCCATGCATCGCACGGGTCCTTGCTAGTTTGTCCTTTGAAAATTCAAGTATGACACGTTTTGAAGTTTGAAAATTCAACTAATAATTATTTATACCCTTGATGAGGAGTGGGGTGCCTTGCCCTTGAATTTGCGTGACATTAAGGAGTGGTTGCCTTGCCTTGAACCTGCTTAACACTGGGGACAGGGTGGGGATGGGGTGCCTCGCCCTGAACCCATCTCGTTGTCATTCCTATATAATTGTTAATTATTAGTGAAATTAATAAAAATGTTAACTTTTATAATTATTTTTATTTATTTAAAGTTAATAAAAGTTTCATTTAAAAATAATAACAATTATTAAAATTACTATAAATTATTAATAAAACTAAATTTATTAAAAAATATTTGTTTATATTAAATTAACAATAATTATTTTTTTGTAAATCAACATTAAATGAAAATACAATAATTAAAATTTTGGGTATTAACAATAAATTTGGATACTTTTAATTAATTAACAATAAATTTTAATTATTAATTAATAGTAAATAAATTATTAAATCTTTCATATTTTCCCGTGCATCGCACGGGTCCCCGCTAATTTTTAATAAAAAATCGAGGTTTTATTGCAAATCTACCGGTTTGATGAATAGGAATAGGATTTTGGGTAGGGCGTTGAACTGGACCTTTCCGAATTCCAGTCAATGGCATGCCAATGCGGGTATTACCTGAGAGGAGACTGCTACAAGCACTGTAACTGAACAAAAACCTCGGGACAGAGGCAGGGCATAGATATCTGAACCTGGGGACTGGGAGACCGAGGAGATGAAGGTATTGGTCACCGGAGCGTCCGGTTACTTGGGTGGGAATTTGTGCCGGGCCCTACTTAGGCAAGGTTACTCCGTCCGAGCATTTGTGCGGCCAACAAGCGACGTTTCGCTCCTTGGACCGGCATCGGCGACCCACGGACGGGACGGGGAGGGTTCCCTGGAGCTCGTCTACGGCGACGTCAACGACCTCCCTTCTCTGCTTGTGGCCTGCTCCGGTTGCCAGGTTATCTTCCACGTCGCAGCCCTGGTTGAGCCATGGCTTCCTGATCCGTCTAGGTTCTTCTCTGTAAGCAACCTTTCTTCCTCTCCCCACACTCGATTGATGCCCAGAGTACTTCTGGATTCTCCCTCTGTTTGATCGTTTTTGTTAATTGTTGTCAGGTTAACGTTGGAGGCCTGAAAAACGTATTACAAGCATTCAGAGAGACGAAGACTGTGGAGAAGATAATATATACATCCTCCTTCTTCGCTCTCGGGCCAACAGACGGTTACATAGCAGATGAGAAACAGACTCATCCGGAGAAGTCATTTTGTACGGAGTATGAGAAATCAAAGGCCATGGCCGATAAGGTTGCTCTACAGGCGGCGTCCGACGGGTTGCCGATTATCGTTCTCTATCCCGGAGTTATTTATGGTTCCGGAAAATTGACGGCGGGAAATGTGGTTGCCAAATTGGTAATTTCATTATTCTATTCCATTATTCCTGAATGCGATGATGATGATGAGTAATGTATGTTTATCTATTGTCCATTGTGGATCAGTAGAAATTCTGTGGGATTTACACATTAATGATGACTGTCTGGTCCAACTATCGCACCTTGACTGACGTGCCCCTGTAAAGTTTTGCCGTGTTGGATGAACGTATCACTTTACTGTAAACTTTTAAATCTTAACTATACGTCTCAAGATTTTGGATCTCTAAAGCTTACTGACTAGTCTAATTAGATGGCTTATGCTTTAGAGAAATGGCAATCTTAAGTAATTTAACTTTGGAAAAGTATACTAAACTAGAAAATAATTTTTTTATCTATTCTATGTGAGAATTATCTGAATTAAATGATCTGAAATTTTGGGCAAGACAAGTCTGGCAGAAAAAAAAGAATTGCTTCAGTATACTTGGATAAAAATTAAGTCTTGCCAAATATGAACTGTATTTTATTAGTGATTAAAATGAAGCAATCGCACTAATTAGTATAATGATGAGCTAGGATATAACATAATGAACAAAGAATTGGCAACTCTATTTTATATTAATGGTACATTTGATTTGAAGTAATGCCATACCTTTTTTTTTCACATAATGGTCTCATGTTAGATTTGCTTTTTTTTATCAGTGTACTATTTTGAAGTACCAGGTGGTGTTTAAGAATTGCATGATATGCACAACAGCACAACATGCAGAAAAATACAAACTTACCTGGCAGAGTCGATCCCCATTGTAACTCAACAATTGCCAAAGCCCATCCCTGTCGACTTCATTTGAACTGGAACTCTAGAAGTCATGCATGTTGTGATCCATCTGAAATGGGATATTCACTTTCGAAGCTACAACAATAGTCCGATGACTGAACCATTGGAGCTATCCCTCATGCAACCAATGACCACTTGAAAATCTCTTTCCATATCAATTCTTTCAAAATCCATGACTCTTAGTGGTCATAGGCCTTGAAGAAAGAAGGCCACAATCCTCTCAGAACCCATGCCCTTGGTGTTTATGGTTGTCAATTTTTTTCTGACACATTTACAATGTAGAATTGTAGATCAGATATTGTTCTTGTTCTTAGAGTGTCCACTGTACTCATTAGGAGTGATCTCAGGTTACTGAATGATTTTCAGTTTTAGAGATTTGTGATATCATTTCATCATACTGATGAGCTGGTCTCATGCCAAGTTACAATTCGTCAATGATAATATAGCATATTAACATGTGTACAAGACACTGTTGGTTGGTCCCATTGATGACATATTTTCTCTCTATTTGGAGCAAATACTTGGAGACTGTTTTGTTTGTCTAATGAAATTGACTACTTGAATATACAATACAGTATTTGTCCATTCCTTTCATTGTGAGTTGTTATTTTTTTGCTGTTTCAGTTGATTGAACGTTTTAATGGGCGCTTACCTGGTTATATTGGCTCTGGGCAAGATAAGTTTTCATTTAGCCATGTTGAAGATGTAATTGATGGACACATTGCAGCACTGAAGAAAGGTCGCCCAGGTGAAAGATACCTTCTTACGGGGGAAAATGCCTCATTTGTGCATGTTTTCAATGTTTCTTCCTTCATTACTGAAACAAAAAGGCCTTGGTTTCACATCCCTTTGTGGCTGGTGGAGATATATGGATGGATATCAGTTCTCTTCTCTCGAATTACAGGAAGGCTTCCTCTGATCAGTCCTCCGGTATGCTCTATGCTCCCTGCAACATTACATATAGCAAAAAAAGAGCTAACAACAATGCCACTCTTCACTAAATAGCATACATATCCCTCAAAACATAAAACAGCTAATGGTCTGTGGGGGCAATACAGATCTTGTGTATGATATTCCCCCTCTTACATAGACCAAAGGGCACCCTAGCCTTAAGCCTTGAACAAGAGGAACTCATCTCTCGTGAAATCTCCAACACCTAAGGGGCCTAAGTAAACCATCAAGCAATGGTCCTTAATCCCACCAATACCCAATCTGTTACGCTTTCTAAGACTACAAGTTTTGAAGTTTAACATAATGGAATGTAAAGGTAGAGGTAACCTTTATTGTATTACATTACAACTTTTTTTTGATCAATACTATTACATTACAACTTGAGTGTTATAAAATTTTGCAAATTGGATTTTTAAGGGCATCCAGTGAACCAGATTTTGGCTGAATTGATGTTGTTTCCCTACTGTGGCATCCTTATCCCTTGGGACCTGATATCATGCAATTAATAATAGTGATAACCATCTATAATGCTTGGAGTTGGAGTGTTGCCCTTTAATGTTCTATCAAATAGTTCTTGACGTAAAACTTCAATCAAACTCAGACTAATCAATGCATGTCTCTTGCAGACAGTATATGTGCTGAGGCATCAATGGGCATATTCTTGTGAGAAGGCCAAAGTGGAGTTGGGATATAACCCTAGAAGCTTAAAGGAAGGTCTTGGGGAGGTGCTTCCATGGTTGAAGAGCTTGGGCCTCATAAAATATTAAGGACTGTTGAGTCTGTATAATTGTTGTTGCTGCTTTAGGCCTAAAAGTGCATAGTGGTGTTTTTTCCTATAAATGTCTACATTATCTCTGTTGGTCCATGTAGCAGCTACCCTATTCCCTTAGAGGTGCTTGATTTGCATTTATGGCGCATTCTACTTGTAAATATCAGAAGACTTTTTTTTTTTTGTGAAAATAGTATTGTATTATGTATTAACTGACAAAATCAGGTGGGTGTATACAAGTATGCTTCATGCAGCATAGTGAGGGTGTATACAAGTGTAGCTCATGCAGCACAGTGAGTACTGTGAGTCACTATATAATGAAAAAACATGATTCCAACAACACAAGAAATTCAGTTGTGGGTGCACCCATAGTTGTCAAGGCAAAGCCTAGGCGCCCTTTGAGGCTCGTCTCGCCTAATCACCTAACAGTTTTCTACTTCCTACTATAAAATATTTTTTTATTCATTTTTTTTTGAGATTATAATTATAAAATAGACATTATTAAACTAAAATAATCATTTTGTGTGTTTATATACTAATTTTTTTATTATTTTCTTATTTATTAGGGTTTAATCAACACAAACATTGCTAAATGCTGTATTGAACCATCAAAAACTTGAAAACCTGAACCAATAAGTAAGGAACAACTAAAAATTTTATCTAATCAGCACATTTTCCTCTTTCATATATTCTTCTTCTTCTTCTACTACCACTACTACCAATATTTTTTATTTTCTTCTTTTCCTATAACAAAAGTAAGGGTTCAGCTTCTATATTTTTTGAATTTTATTTTCCATTTTCCTTTTCTTCTCATGAATATGTTGATTTTCTATACTTTAATATGAAATTTATACTTTTCTTATGAAAATCATGAATAATTATTAAAGAAATATGGTTATGGTACATAAGGAACTATCTTAGGATCTATGTTTTTAACATAAAAAATCCATTGCCTAGGCGACAAGGCGCTCCCCATCACCTAGCCTTGCCTTGGTGCCTTGAAAACTATGGATGCACCTTGCACTTTCATCACCATTGCTCAAAAAAGCATTTCTTGATCAAAGAATGCCAGTTGGGGAATGCCTGTAAAAGAGTTGTGGGTCACAATCCAAGATTGGATTGGTTGCTACTGTCCTAGTTACCATCTCCTTTGTAGATACCTTGTCATAAAAAATGCTTAAATATCATTTTCCCACCCTATCCAAATTACAAAAGAAGGAATGATACTCGAGAATCGAGACAGGACTCTGACCACCTCTTTTATTTAGGCATTTCACCTTTCAATATACAGTAGTTCCACCACTGTTCTAGGACCACCAATTGAAGTTGATTAAGGTGCAAAAGTATGCGAAAATATAGATACATGGTCTGCAGTTTCCACTTTCAAGCTCTTATGGACAGAACACAACTTGGTACTGAGATTTTCATTTCTCTCCTAATCAGCTTGTGAGGCATTTGCACAAACCATACTATACTATAAAAGGGCTAGAAGGTTCCAAATCTCTGTGAGGAAAGCCATCTGTAATTAACCTACTCTGATCTTATCCCATACCTAGCTCCAACATCTTGGTCAATAATTGGAGGGCAGGCACCAGTTATCAACATCAAATTAGCCATCTCTTCCCATTTCCAAGTCATTTAAGTCTTCTAAAAGGATTCCATATCAATGTTCTCCCCAGGACCTCATATTGGCCAGCCACTGGTGCCTCTTTATTTGTAGGCATCAAAAGACTTTGTCTTCCAATTTGTAGGGTCTAGATTAATTCAACAGAGATAAACAAAACTTAAACCACGTGGGTTTCATCTGTCTGTAGTACTCAGTCATATATTAAGATTCCTCCAGAAATGTCTTACATTTTCTGATTTTTTGCCTGGAATATCTATTCAACAAGTTCGAATTCTATGGTGTTAATAAGAGGGAGTATCTTGGAAAGTTACTTAGTTTGTGGCCAATGACACAAAACTCATTATGGTCAGAGCTTGAACGATAAGCAAGGTTTTAAAAAGGCTGAAGGAATAGTTGAGGTATAATGGCCCAATAAGGTGAGGAATGAATCTGAAGGTGTCGCAAGGGGTAAGCCTCAAAAATTAAGAAATTAAAGTTTATAAATGATAAAAGAATATATGATATACTTGAGTTAGAATGACAGAATTACTGACGTTCCTCAATCAAATTGACCAAAGCCGTTTAAGTTCGAAGCCATGTGGTGTCTTGACCCCTCTCTCAAAGAGCTGGTTAATCAAGCGTGGCAAACAGAAACATTGGGGTCTAAGGTGATGAGGGCGGATTTGGCCCTCCAGTGAAATTGTGACACTTGGTACCTCATACCAAATGTGCAGCCTCTCGACAATTTGATAGCTCGAGCTAGTCACAGGCAGCTCGCCATAGGTAGTTCGCCACAGAGCGAGCTTGAGTGCGCCGGCGTCTTGAGCTGCACTCTGAGCTAAGCTCACCTCAGTCCGCGAACTAGTTCACTCCAGGCCCAAGCAAGTGGGTCATCCCGAAGACAACTCGCCTCAAGTAGAATCACTTCGGCATGTTACTGGTAGCTCGCTATGGAGTAACCCGCTGCAGAGTAGCTCACTACAGGGTAGTGCGGCGCCCAGCGAGAAGCTTCTTATTTGACAGAACCGTACCTGCTGCACTGCTCCCGCATCCTTTGTCTGGCGGTGCAGTACCTACAGATTTAGAGAATTGCGCCCACGTCTCTCGACAGGCGGCGCAACGCCTGCCGATTCAGAAGGGTGTACCCACGTCTCTCGACAGGTGGCGTCGCGACCTGCGGGTTGTCTCTTGATTGGCGGGACCGTACCAAGCAACGGTCACTGTAGCC